CCGGGTTCACAGATTCGGTTCCCTGGGCACAAGGAAGGGTCCCCCGGTAAAAGGAGAGCTCTCCTGGCGGTCGGAAACTTGAGTGCGGTCTTGGATCCGTTGACAAGGGGCAGTGTCTCTGGGTCTGCGTGGGCATTGGCAAGAGTTCACCGTGGGTGCGGGCACTGCACTCCCTCCACCCCTCCCGCTGTCCTCAGAGAACCAGCCAAGGGACACAGCCCTGGTACAAGTCCTAAAACGGATGTTACCCTTGGGGTCCTTTAGTGGGCGAGTGTCCCCAATGAGTACGCGCCAGCAGCATCGGGGGGGAAGTCGTTCACTTTTCCTTAAATGCCGATGGGAACTGAACTCCTTTCCGCCCGTGTCGCCTGCAGGTGGCCCGCCGGTGGGGAAAGAGGAAGAATAAGCCCAAGATGAACTACGAGAAGCTGAGCAGGGGCCTGCGCTATTACTACGACAAGAACATCATCCACAAGACGTCGGGGAAGCGCTACGTGTACCGCTTCGTGTGCGACCTGCAGAACTTGCTGGGCTTCACGCCCGAGGAACTGCACGCCATCCTGGGCGTCCAGCCGGACACGGAGGACTGAGGCCCGGGGGCTGCCCGCGGGGCCACCCTGACCGGCTGCCCCGGGCCCTGCCAGGCCGCTGGAACGCTCCAGGGAAGTCGCCGAGAGGCAGTGGCCTTATTTCATCCGAAACCGCAGCTCTCCGCCCAGCGCGCGGCGTGTCGCCCCGGCTCCTGCGGACGGGGGAGCGCCGTTCACGATGCGGTCGCGTTGCAGTGGCCGAGGGCGCGCTCCGAGCAGGCTGCGGGCAGGGCCGCCCGGGCTGCGGGCCCCTCTCCACGGAGTGAGCCCGTCCTGGACGCACACATCTTTCATTTTCTTTGGCCTTTTGCCACCAGGAATCACAAATGCGAAAGCGGTCTCTGTTTCGGAGGGCAGGAGGGGGCAAGAAAAACAATCGTGCCATTTCAGAAGTTGGTTTGTATATATGATTGTAATCTTATAATTGTTATCGAAATCCTCTAACTGTTCTATTTAACAGATATTGTATATTGTAATTTAAAATAATTATATTGCTGTATGTGAAATAAGAATGCAATGTTGTATTCCATTTTTCAAGAGCGCCTGTGGCATTTTGCAAACATGAATCTGCCACCGGCAGGCTAAGAGAATTTGTAAAGTGTATATTATTTACATTTAATATGCCTACAGAAATAAGGTCTACGAGGGTCAATCCCTGTTGTTTTGTTTTGTTTTGCCTGGATTGTTATCTGGCAAGGAGTATGTACATTTGGGAATTTTTATAAGAAACGTAATGTTATTTTCTGGGGGCACCTCTGGCCTCTGGTTTCCCCTTTTAAAAACTGTAATGTAAAACCTATAAAGCAGTATTTTTCTTGACAAATGGCATATGTTTTCCATTTCTATGCATGCCTGTAAGTCAGTTGATACACAAAACTTATCTTTTTTTCTTAGTTCACTTGTGTTTCCCCCACAGCTAACCTCCCGACCAGCCATTTCCACCCCGAGCGCCACTCCCAAGCCCCGAGTGACTGTGTGATTAAAATAAGAATACTATTTTTGGAAATCTGCAACTCCTTTTCAGAGATCAGGAGGGATTTATGTAGCAGCTATTTTTACTGTAAAAGTAATTCACTGGAAAAAAATGTAATTTGTAAGAAAGCTTTATTTTTTATCTGGGCTCCATGTAAAGTTAAACATACTGAAGGTTGGGGTGGGGGGATCTATGAAACGTCGGACGTGAATGGAGGATGTTTGTCCATCTTTGCTCACCGCTGAGTCTCGGGCTGTCTGGATACCACGCTGCTCCTTTCTGCTCAGCGACCGCAGCAACACAGTTTGGGGGTTTTGTTTTTTTTATTTGGGACGCAGAATGCCCGGAGGCCAAGGGGGTAAGCAAGGTGGGAGAGAGAAAGCACTGGACTGGTTCACACGAAGAAAACGTTTCAGTGGCGATGAAGACTTTGTTTCTAAGGACTCCCTGGGGCAGCGTGTACTCCTGGCCTTCCTAAGTGATCCGGCCCAGTGGGTTGTGAAGGCAGACAGGTGTCCCTGCACTGTGAGGACACCTGGACCCGGCCGTGTGATGAGACCATGGGGTTGGCGAGAAGGGCGGAGCTGCCTCGAGACCCACACAGGACAGTTTCCAGTATCTTTAAACAGGATGTTTCTCAGGCGGGACCTGTTTATCGCTCGGACATCTGTTTATAACATCAGCAGACATGTGGCTGGGAACACGTTGCTGCCAAAACAAACGTTCGCCATCGGCTCGCTTTATATGGGGTCGAACCACGTGGAATCAATACTGGACTGTTTTTTAATCGACCGAGTTGGCAGTTTCATGTGGTCCAACCTAGTAGTGACGGGAACACGTCCCTTACAAACCTCTGGCATGGTAATGAACAGAACTCAAGTAAAAAATTTTTGTAATTTGGCAGTTTCTTTCTCAAATAAAGTATTTTGTTTACATAAACCCCTCCTCCTAAGAGTCGTCACACTCGGTCTCCACCCAGCAGGGAGGGGAGGAGGGAGGGTGCTGAGCTCAGCGGCTGCTCACTCAGCAGCTACCAGGCCTTGAGTCACAGCTCCGTGTAACCGATTTACACTCGGCCACCTACTAAATCATGACCAGGCTGGACCCAGCTGGGAGCCCTTCCTACAGAAAGTCCCCAAAAGTGTTCCTAAACGCAGAATTCTTTTAGGAAGCGTTTAGAATAGGAAGGTTCTGGTTCTGCCTTTGCCAGGGGGCTTGGCAGACACACAGAAGAGAAGTGGGGTTGTTTACATCAAGAACATTAGGCTTTGTGGTTCAAGGACTTTTGTCATTGAGGCCGGGACTCCGGACTCCTGACGTTGCTGGATGCAGTTGCTGGGATGCCTTAACCAGACAGGAGGGTGATGGTCCTGGGATACCTGGTCTCAGACTCCTCAGGGCTCCTTTCCATTCTTCAGAATTAGGATGACACAAAACGGGTGGATTCTGTCAGAGGTGCCTGGAGCTGGCTCACCGATGGTACCGTCTCTTCCCAAGTCTGCATCAGTGACGAGTTGGTAGTTTGAACTTGGTCGTGATGAGAGTATTTACGCCATGAAATCAGCAAACACTACAAATGAGAGGGGGCTCCCCCCATCCCCAGGGAGCTGGTTGTAAAACGTTTACCAGCACACCACTGGTCATCAGTGTTTACCACATTAGAAATTCGCACTTTAAAATAACATTACATATTCACATTCTTATGAAAAACAACGATTTCTCTAAGATGAGAATGGCATTGTTTTATATGCTTTCCCGTCTTTTTCATGTCTGGTTTCATAGAAGAGGGCTGGAGTCGTAAAATGCTGCCTTCGGTCTGTTGTAACACATTTTGAAGAAAATCAGGCCTCGGGCAGATATGTAACTGGAAGAGGGAAGGGTGTATATATAATAACTGTTTCAGATCACCATGGATATGGTTTTATGCCGCACCGAAACTGACAAATTGCTTAAAGGTTCATTGCAGTTGGGGTGTGAAACCATATCAATAAACTTTCCAATGGTTGCAATTAATCCCACGGGTCTGTCCAGCACTTTGAATGCTTTTTTACCCCGTGCGATTTTGTAACATGGTGCATTAGTCACATGGAAAACAGTTGCTTCAAAATGTTGGCACATTTCGATGTACAATATCAGGCAATCACGTTAGTGACTGTTACCACCAATTTCATCAGCAAAGCCCTGGGAGGCTCTCAAGCTTAAAGGGGCAGACACACGTTTTCAAACATTCCGATTTTTACTTGAAAGTTCAAGTTTTATCATCCGCAACAAACACCAAGTTTCCTTTGCAGTGGCAGACCCCTTTCATTTACTTTTGAGGAAACACCTGTCAAATACCTGAACAAAATCTGAGTAAACGTAATTTGCCGAGCTGTACTTTCAATAAAGACAGGGTTCGTGAATAAAGTGGCTAGTTTAGCTAACAACTCAAGCGAGCTCTTTTTTTTGGAAGACAGTATAAATATTTATTTTATATGTTGAATTTAAGATACTAAATATAAAAGCTTTTCTTACTAATTTTTTTATTTTCCAATGCCAGTTGACATGCAATATCATACGTATTAGTTTCAGGGCCCCAGCTGTCGGGGGACCTCCCTTGGAGAACGGTTCCAGAAAGAAGAGAGGGCAGGAGGGCCATTTTCCTTCTTCCTCTCTCACCCAGCGTCTCTGCTTCCCGTCTTTTCACAGCCGGTCAAGAAGCATTTTTTAATTTACACAAAAAGCATCGCCTGATGTTCTGGGTGGTCAACTTCATTCATGCCCCTGGGGACACATGGATTCTCTCAAAGTCCTTCTACCACCCTTTGCTCTGGCTGTCCTTTTTTATCTTCACTCCAAAACTTTTAAAAATTAGAATAAAATGTATCTTTTATCACAAATTTTTTTAAAAATTGTTTTTCTTAATATACTGAAAACTAAGGATGGGTGCACGTGTCCCCCAGTTTTCCCACGTGGTGGGGAAAAAGCGAATTACATTGCCTTGAGCTTCGCCCCTGCTTCTCCCTCCTACAGGGCCTGAGACCCCCTGTGAGCAGCGGAGGGTGGACGCCCACAGCAGGCCTGATGGGCTTCTCGGTGTCGGAGGCTTAGCGAGCGGGCTGAGGAGGTGGAGAGGGAGCGGGAACAAGGTGAGTCAGCATCAGGCAGGGTGGGAAACGGGCAGGCGGCAGCCGGGCCTTTCTGTGCCTTGGAGCCAGACCTTGGGTTATCACTGTCGTGGGCTGGTGCGTGGCCTTGGGCACGTGACTTAAACTCCGTGCCTTAGTTTCTCCTCCATAAAGTGGGGTCACTGGGTAGCAGTGGGAGGATGAATTTTTGGTGTCAGACTGTGGGACGTCAGTGGCCTGAGGGCTCCATCGAAGCCACAATCAAGCATTCCCGGAAGGGGTCTGCAAAGAAAATAGGGCTCCCGACGGCCACATCTGGTCTCCTTTTTCCTGAGAAAAAAACCCAGGCACATAAAACTGGCACTTAACCCCACTGGGACTCGAACCCAGGCCCTCTGCCTCCTGAGGATGTTCTCCGGCCGCCGATAACCACCCGTGTTTGTTTTGTCATTTTCTCTGCTACCCAGGGGCTCCCCCGAGCTTCCAGTTCCTCCTTTCACAGCCCTTGGTTTGAATTTTAAATTATCCAGGAATCTCCTCCCCAAAGAACACACTGTCCTCGTATATGAGGCAGCTGGCGGCGGCTAGTTTAGTTTGAGCAGATGCAAGAATCTCATGATCTGGGCCAGATGTTAATCTGTCTTTTCTGTAAGAGCAACACAGAAGGCGTGGCCAGCGAGGGAAGGGGAAGCCCCGCTGTGTAACTCCTGGGCAGGGTGCGAGCGTGTGACCCTGCTTGGCACCTGACGCTGGAGGAAGACCATTTCTGGTCATAGCTGGTGTGATGACACCACGGCTGGAACTGACAGGGCCTTTGTCCACGTGCTGTGAGTAACGGCCCCCTCCTTGTCTCCCAAAGTCATGTTCGGATGGCAGAACAGCCCAGGATTGCCCAATCTGCCCCCGCCAGATGTCTCTGTGTCTGCGGCCTCAGACTCTGGTATAAGCAAGCAGGGCTCGGCAGGCACGTGCGTGTTTGCCCGGCACGGGTGGGAGCCCGCGGCCTGGGCTGGCTGGAGAATGGAGCGTGGCAGTGAGGGGAACGACAAGCAAAGAAAACTGGGCGTCAGCTGTGGTCCATCTCTGTGCAAGCCCACGAGAAACACCGTCAGCACGCGCTGGCCAGCTCTACCGGACTGCGTCCATCAAAATGCAAATACGTAATTAATAACTGTGAAGCATGTGGCACGTCCATCTGTCCTCTCCCTGTGACCCTGCGAGGTTGGTTTTATGATGCTCATTTTACAGACGTGACCTCTGTAAATAAGGAGACGTACTGAGGTGGGGGGGTTGCGACAGCAATGCTGGAATTCTGGGAGAACACAGTTCAACCCGTAACATCTCCCAACACCAGATAAGTTAAAATTTGCCAACGTGGACCCCAGGGACACCAGTCGTACAAGGGGGTGTGGATCGGTTGGAAAGGTAAACTGCAAACTCAAGGGCAGCTACTCGGGTGTTTAAAAAGAAGTATGAATGATCATGCTAAGAGAGAAGATAAAACAGAGACATAAAAGCTGCAACTCAAACCACAGAAATAAAATAAACAGAAGGAAGGCAACGAAGCGATGACATATAATAAATATGGTCGGTACTAATTCAAATATCTCGTAACCGCAGTAAACGTCCATGCTCTATACACACGATTGAAAGACAGAGGCTGTCGAGTGGATTAAAAAACAAGACCCAACTATCACCTGGCCTTTAAGAAACAGTTTAACTGTTAGGCACAGCGAGGTAAGAATATAGGGGTGGGCAAGAGGCACCATGTGACACTAATTCTGGAAAGCTGGAATCCCCGTATTAATATCAGATGGGGCAGAGCACAGAGCAAGAGAAGTGGTCAGGGGTCCAGGGGGAGGGGGAGTGGACTTGATGGAGCAGGAGGGGTTGGGGCCGTGGCACTATTCCGTGGGACTATAACGGTGCGTTCAGACATCACGCATTTGTCAAAAACCACAGCATGTGCAACACAAAGTGTGAACGAACCCTGATGGAAAGGGGCTTTAGGTGACAACAATGTACAATATTGGTTCATCCATTGACTATACAGCATTGACCCCAGTCATGCCAGGTGACCATAGCGCCGGGTCCTTCATGCGGGATGTCACGGGGACCTGGGGACATGTGAACTCTCCGTACTTTCCACTGAAGATTTCTTTTTCTTTAAACTTAACATTGCTCTAAAAAAATAAAGTCTAACTAAAAAGAAAAAGAAAATACCTCTCACTTCAGACCACAGCCACCCCTCCTCTCACCACCAAGCCTGTTCTCTCCACTCAGGGCACCCCTGCACCCCTCAGGACCCCCAGGTTGGCCTTGGCTGACTGCTGGCTCCGTCAGCCTGTCGTGGCAGAGTCCCAGGGGACAGACTAACAGTGGGTCTGCACAGAGACGCTGGGGAGCGACATGTGGATTCGTGACATGAAAGGTGGCAAACTGAGCCAAAGGAAGGGCACCGTTCCCAGGGGCCACCTGTGAAGGTGACTCTGTGGGCGGAGACCCTTCCTTGGGCCACCTTGGAGGTGTGGGCTGACCACAGCAGGGGCACGCTAGGGGCAGCCCAGGTCCTGGGCAGAGTCACTCCCTTCAAGGAAACTTGAATAGGCCATGCTGGCCCCACAGACCCCATGATCGTGACTCTCCCAGTTCTAACTGGTTTCTCCTGAGATGTTAGGATTGGAATCCAGGTCCCTTAGTTAAAATCTGTGGGGACCCCCTTGAGTCCTGGGACCCACCGGCCCACAGTGACCACACACAAGGGGAGAGCGAGCCTTGGAGGAGGGACAGCCCTGGGACCTTGGTGGGCAGCGGCGGGGGTCCCCCCAGCAG